GTCCTTAAGAATAGGTCAAGTTGCCTCTTGGAGGACTCCTGAGAAGTCGCTTGGACTAGCTCGACCGGCAGTGAGTTCCAGCATTTGACAACCCTTAAGGTATAGAAGTAATGTCTACACTCCGTTTTGCTATGTTGTGCCTCCAGTTTCTGGGTGTTACCTGTTAGGTTAGTGTTGGAACTAAGCTTAAGTAGGTGTTTAAGAGGGTGTCCAGAAGTGTTAAGGATACTATAAGCCATCAGAAGGCCACCTCTAAGACGTCTATACTCTAATGGGTAAAGGTCTAGTAAATGGAGGCGCTCTCCATAAGATTTACATTTGAGTTCTCGAACTGATTTCGTGGCTCGCCGTTGGATACGCTTCAGGGTGTTCTTATCCTTTTGGAATGAGGGGGAAATACTATGTTTCCGTACTCTAAATGGGAACGGATAAAACTATTGAAGATTATATGGAAAGTTCTTCCGTCAAACTGGCCAAAAATGCGCTTCAATGTTACCAGTGCAAGGTTTGCTCGGAAGGCATTTTTGTCACAGTTAGCGTAAGACTTTAAGTCATGGGGCACCAGGACTCCTAAATCTTTTTCGACTTGAGATACTACTAGAGAAGAGGTACCTAAGTTATAACTGTAGTCTGCTACATGTCGCAGATGGACTACTTTACACTTTGAAGTGTTAAAGGTAAATCCGTTATCGTCTGCCCAACTATGAAGTCGAGTCAGATCCTCCTGAAGTGCCTGTATACCGTCTTGGTTGCGTATCTCTCTCCAAAGTTTGACGTTGTCGGCAAAAAGTAATAAGTCTGACGTTACCTGTTGAGGACGATCATTTATGTAGATCAAGAAGAGAAGAGGCCTTAGTACTGAGCCCTGAGGGACCCCACTAGGACATTCCATAGCCTGAGATAAAGTGAACTTAACCCTGACCTTAAAGTGTCGATTTTTCAGGTATGAAGTGAGCCAATCGATTAGAGGTGGTCTAATACCCAATCGTTTGAGCTTATTGATAAGACATGTTTGATTAACCTCATCAAAAGCTTTTGAGAAATCTAGGTAGATGATATCAACCTCCCCCTTGTGATCAAGGATCCTTGTACATCTGTCCACCACAGTCAGCAGGTTGGTGATACAAGAGTAACCCTTCCCAAAATCATGTTGTTGGGGTGAGCAGAAATTTAAGAACAGTAAATAGTCATTTATACTATCGCATATCAAAGACTCCATGACTTTTGAGGGTATGGAGAGAAGAGCCACCGGTCGGTAACTTGAAGGTTTTCTGCGTCGACCTCCTTTGTAAATTGTGTGATGTGAGCCAAATTCCAATTTTCCGGTAGTTTTCCTCGACTTAGCGAGTGTGAGAACATCACGCTAAGCGGCGTTGCCAAGATTGAGGCTGCTTCCCTCAGTATGGCGGAATGGACTATGTCCAGGCCAGGAGAAGTGTCTAATCTTAATTGCTGCAGTTTCCGGAACACCAAGTCAGCGCTTGGGTTCACTTCGGAAAGTTCTGTGGAATTGCAAACGAAACTGTCATCAGTAAAATTAATGTAGGTCGGTTGAAATGTCTGGGAGTAATCTTCAGCCAGAAGGTTAGTGGCGTCGCCATCGCTGTAGGTCGGGCCGTTAAAATCTACAAGTTGGGAAACTCCAGTTTTGGCTTGACGAAGAGAGGCTGCATAACGGAATAAGCTTTTAGTATTGGAGACAGATTTGTCCATAAGCTTTGTCTGGTACTGAAGAATATCTTCTCTTATAGCCTTCGTGCATATGTTCCTGATATTTTTATGTTGCCTGTACGCTCCGTCGCTGTCAGTTCGTTTGTATTCCGCCCAACAGTGCCTTTTGCGGCCTAGCAGGTGAAGGGTACGGTTCTTTATTATTGTAGGTGGTTTGCAGCTTTCGGGAACTGTTTGAGGGACTGAATGGTTTGTAGCACGTAAGAGCGTGTGCAGTAAGAAGTCCCAATGACCGTCCACGTCGAGTTCGGGGTGAACATCCCAAACCACCTGTTGTAGATAGTCGTGTAGAGCTGACACATTTAACCGTATAAAAATTCCAACGCAAGTTATTGGTGGGGTATCTTAGCTTAGTTTTGCTGGCAAAACCGAAGGCTATGACGGCGTGATCGCTTTTTCCCAGGGGAGCCAGGATTGAGAGGTTGTCAACTAGAAATTCTTCGTTTGTGAATACACAGTTTTAGCGCGAGGGAGTCTGACTGTTTCTCCAATGAGTTGCCGACCTCACATTTTCGAACAATCCCAAGTCATCGATGAGGTTGAAGAACCGAGCTTCAATTGAATTTCGCCTCCAGTATATGTGTGTTCCATGAAGTTGACTCTAGGGAGATTAAAGTCCCCTAGAATCAGGGTGTGTGTGAAACCGAGACGAGTAGAGCGGGATAGTCTTTCCAGCGCACGACTATCGTACTCGATGTCGGCCGTTAGCCTCCTGTAAATGACTCTGATAAGTCACCTCGAAGTACTAGATAATCTTACAGAGCAACATATGGATTCCTCAAGATTGTTAAACTCGAGGTTATGAACTTGGTGCACCTCCAAGCAAGAACGTATGTAAACGGCTACTCCGCCCACAATTCCTGATTTTCTGTCGTTGCGGAACAAAGACATCTCAAGTAATGCTAACTCATGGTCCGAGAACTGAGAAGATATCCAAGTTTCAAATATTCCTGTCAGATGGGCCTTATTAGCATTGCTAAGTTCACGTAGTTCATCCAATTTGTTTGGTAGACTCGCGGCGTTCATATATAAGCAGTTTATGCTTTTTATTTGAAACGCATGAGCTTCTTCTTGTTTGCCTCTATGAGCCTTACGTGAATGAACAGGTAGCCCACCTATATGAGGTTTACCGAGGTGGTAGGCCCTGTCCTTTACACGTTTTTTATCGTCTAGACAGTCCACAAGTGGAATGATAGGCTCCAACTTGCCTTTGTGTTTGGTCCTAGCTTCGTATGGCCTATCCGGGTGCATGTGGATTCCAGGTGGCAGTCGACGTCTGTTGGCACGAAATGCTTCCAGAGTTGCAGTCTCCATATGGGAAGATAGGAGGGTTGTCTTCACTAGACGGGGTCTAGAATCACCATCCTTCTTGGCTAGTCTCGGCACATGCTGAGTCAGTATGTGTTTGAGCCTCAAGGACTGTTTGATGAATTTCCATTCCCCGATGTCAGTTTTTGATTGAGTAGGGTCCGTATTTTCCGGTATACCTTGTACGATTATATTCCTCCCGCGGAAAAACTGATCGCGAGATTCTTTGGGGATGTTCTGGATGAGATTGCGCTCAGAATACGGTATGTCAGGTAGTATTCTTACAATCCCATCTGATTTCAGTAAATGACTCGCTAGTAAGACATCCTCTACGTCGGTAGCATTCTTAAGTGTTACACGAAGTAGCCTCGGGTGACTTTGATGCTTACATAACTTTCCCCGAGTGAGCCGTGTGACTGTCAAAGGCTCTATTCTTGGAAGTCTAAGTTTCTTGTTCAATTCTCCCCAGAGCATCCTATCATTTTTCCTGCAAACTGAGAGGATGGTCAGGATTGTCTTTGAAGTTCATGACTATGAGAGAGTCATCACGAACCGTTATTGTCGTCCCAGGTTTTCCGGTGCGTTCAGTTTTAGCACCTTGTTGTTTGGGGGTTGAAGCACGTTTATGAATCCTTTGCTCTTTGACGACCGGACGGACAATCTTGTGGATAGACTGTGCGACCATATCACCAGTTGACTTCCGTTCAACAGCTAGGATGTTCAACTTAGACTGTGACGCCTGGCCCTTTTTAGCTCTTTTGACATCGATCCAATCATCTACAGGTTTTTTGGGAACCACTGTCGCGTTCAAGGACCTTGAGCTGTGAGACCCAAGTTTGCTGATGGAGTCGAGTACCGTCGTCGTAATCATGATGCTAAGTTTCAGTGTGTCATCATTAATGCTGTTGAATGCTCTGTCGTTGTTAGACCTGTCGACATTCCTGTTCTCGTTTTTCATGCGCTTTCTTGTTTGTCTACCCATTTTTTTGACTGTATTTTCCCAAGTTTGCAGACAACTTACTCTGCAGACCTGTCAGTAGGACAATGATATTACTCAGCAAGACTGCAGCATCCGTGCTGCACGTAACATATTCCCACTTATGATCCGACTTGCTGAGTCTGTTGTAAGCAGTTGCTGTGAGATCTGTGCACGCTTCGTGGAACCAACATTTGCAGTTGTCGCACTGCATGCCAGATATGACAGCAAAACGGCATCCAGGTCGTTTGCATAAATTTTTCATGACTGTATTGACGTAAACTGTGTTGTAGATGCTAGCAAAAGCCTAAGACCGTAAAAAATACACTAAAAAACACACTGAAGACGGAAAAAAATGAATAGAACGGATGAGATAAACTGAACTAGTATTTACGTGAAAAAGTGAAAAAAACCGAATAGTAAGTTGAGGCAAAACCACAGTTAACTATTAAATTGGGTGAAACTAAAAAAGTATTCTACCGAACGTTTAGCTCAGGATAGATTCTTTTGGACAGAAATGGTACTTTTGTTGCGTAAGAACACAGCAAAAGTTTGATAAATGCAAATCACGTTAGGACTAAACTTCCCGTTCGTAAGTAAACCAATCGTTTAGAGGCCGTCTGATACCTAGTCGTTTGAGCTTATTGATAAGACGTAAATGAACAACCTTATCAAGAACATTTGAGAAATCTAGGTAGATGATGTCAACCTTTCCCTTGCGATCGAGGATGCTTGTCCATATGTCCACCGCAGTCAGCAGGTTGCTTATACAAGAGTAGCCCTTCCTGAAAACATGCTGTTGGGGTGAGAAGAAATTTGTATCATTAAATATACGTAGGTTCCTACATGGAGGTATCGGTGAACAACTGCTACTAGATACGGCAGCTAATTAGGTGAAAGCTTCTTCATTTTCGTTCAGGACCATTTGAACTATTTGAAAAACACTTAAAGGCGCCGAACGACAAAATTGTGACCTTCATTTAGCCGTAACGAATGAGAAACTGGCCGGTGGGTTGTTTTGGTGTATTTTATGCTCGTTTTCACTTTGATTAGACTTTTATCGTTCAAAATATTAGCATCCATATCTGTAATAATCTACCACGTACATGTAGAGGTAGAAGCAACACATTCACTCAGACTCTATGCATATATATTTTTGTATACAATTCTCTGTGCTAGAATATCTTTACGTTCGTGTGATAACTTACTTAAAAGTGCTCTTACCCTGATATATTTCGTCTTTTTAATATAAGTGCGTGTCTCTTCGCTTTCACTTGTATCTACAATTTTTATGAATGGATGAACCCAGACTAAATGTAGTTTGTGCAATCTTCGTGAAAAGCACTTTGCAATGAGCAAGGCAAGTGGCAAAACATTGGGATAGCTCACCAGTAGTTTCTGTGTTAGTATATCATTATCCCGTGCCTTTCACCTCCATGCGGTGATTTAACATGATCCTGAACTGGCATAACACTGGTTGTAAACAAGATTTCTGTTTCACTTGGGGCACTTTTGTGCCTGAAGGACATTTAATCTTGTTGGCAACTTGGGCTGAGGTATATTTGTATCAGGCTCTACGTTGATTATGATCGCCTGAGTCTCTTTAATGACTCCCTATCATTTCAGTAGGTGGATGTGTATTTTATCATATGGATTTGCTACCTAAGGGCTGTCATAAAGTTAATAGGTGTAGGAAGATGTAAGACAATATAAGTGTTCTGTATTCTCAATAGATCACTGGATTATTTCTATAATTGCCCAACTTTTAAATTTGTTCGAAACCCACTGGTTTATCCCAAGCTTTGTTTTTAATCGACTTCTGAAACTGCCGAAGTCCTGTCTTTTGGAAACCCCACTGATTGATATACACATAGTATGAGATGGTGGAGATTTGTAGCTCAGGTCGATGATTTTGATGGAATTTTATTCTCTGAGCTGGATGGCTTGGTCGTGGAGCTTTCACCGTTCTTCTGAATGACATCATCAGCACAAACTTCAGGTAGTTTTGTTGTCGTTCAGAAGGACGACGAGAGCTCCACGACCAAACCATCCAGCTCAGGGAACAAAACTCCATCACAAATAGTATGGGTCTTACTCATGATTCTTAAGACGCAAAGCTTGACTGTGGCCAAATTTTAACTACTCTTAGTAAGACGGTGTGTAGCACCTGGCTTTTATTTATGTTTAGACTTACAGTAAGTTCGCTGCACTAACGGTCTGTTTCAGATTTAGTGCTGCAATTATAACTCAATAGACATCGATTTGGCACAAAAACAATTAGATAAAAACCTTGATTTCGTCCTTGTCATATTCATCAATTTCCAACATCTCTACTTCTATCGTAAGCTGTATCCATATATCATTGTTACTATATTTCTCATCGGTTTATCACGGGTAGATAGTTTTTTGGTGTGTTCGTTTGACAAGATTTATCCTCCCGATGGCTTTTATTTTCCAAAACGTTATATAGCATAAATAATCAAAAATAACACTCAGTACAGCGGATGTCTTTTCTGTTCGAAATAGTGTACATTAACAGTAAAACATGCTGTCGTTCGTAAGTTTTTGTTATGAAATTCCAACCCACTGTTCTAGGACCGAATTCTCACTAGAGGGAAGGGCCTAGTCGATTTCCCGCTCTGTTCAAAGTAAAGAATGTGTATCTTTGCATTAAAAACGGATATTCATAATACATAGTGATATTGCGTTCAAACAAAGACTCCTAAAATTCTCGCTTTCTTTAGTCTTAATACCTGGTGATCTGAGTAAGAATGTCTACAAAGGCTAGACGCCGTCTTATGAACGATTTCAAGAAAATTCAACTTGATCCCCCTCCTGGTGTATACGCTGTTCCACTTGATGACAACATAATGAAATGGCATGCAATTATTTTGGGGCCGGATGGCACAGCATTCGCAGACGGTATATTTCGGCTAACAATGGAGTTCACCGAGAACTATCCTAACGTCCCACCGATTGTGCGATTCGTTTCCAAAATGTTTCATCCTAATGTGTATAGTGATGGTAGTATATGTTTGGATATATTGCAAAACATGTGGTCTCCGTCATATAACATTGGAGCAATATTAACATCATTACAATCACTTTTGGGGGACCCGAACCCCAACTCTCCTGCAAATACGACAGCAGCAGAATTATTTGAAGAAGACAAACGCCAGTATGAAACACAAGTCCGAGCCATTGTTGAGGAATCGTGGCGAAACGATGAACCTGTTGATTGACTTAGTACTGTATTTGAGCACTTGATTTATGTACTTGTAAATAATATTAATTTCTGAACTGTACCAGTTCTTATAACAATGTATGAATAACATATTATCTAAGACGTAGTTTACGTACACTGCTATTTTTAATATGGCCTGAGATCATTGCTTAGATTTACGTAATTACTAACTGAAATATGAGAGCAAGCACTAGTTCTGTTCAGCAGTCTTCGATTATTAATTCTCGTGTGCTAATAACAGAAAAATCAGCCCAACTAGCATAGTTTCAAAAATAACATCGCCTAGAATCAAACGATGTCTTAACAAAGCACAGAAGTTTGAGTTTGGACTTCCCAAAATGTTAATTGAATCTAGCCATTTGAACCACGAGTTAAGGACGGAATTTGTTCGTTTATGACTGAAATAAAACCCTACAGATCTTGTTGGTAAATTTACCTGTCATCCATTAGTTCTACAGATTTAATCATTATGGTTAAGTATCATCATTAGTGTAAGATCTAGTCAGTACATGCATCGAGTCACTCGGTCATATTTCTCTCTAGCACACGAGGAAGTCGAATTTATGGTAGTATTCGTTGTGATAATGAACCAAACATCAAAAATTTCTATCTCAAAAAGAACCAATGAAACAGGAAGGCAAGAAATGAATTTATCACTCCACATGAAATGAAAGATATCAGAGTAGCCAGTAATAAGGCATTTTCACTGACTTAGTTGGTACAAAGTCTCAACCGACTCGCTAATTTTACTCAGTACACTCAGCTTGATCCCAACATTCTAAACGTGCGACCAATCCTTTGTAGACATCTGTAGCCGAACGTTACCAATTTAAAAATGTAATTGACCCTCATAAAATATGTTTCACAGACAAAACTAGGTATCTTGGCCTTAGGTTGATATAAATTCACCTAAACATGATGAGTCTTTTATCAAGTGCTAGACACAGTGGTGCTACATTTCAGACATTAGACTTACGCATATTTCGTCGTAGGAACAGCGATGTTTCAGATATGCTATAATACTCACACGCTTCAGGTTTACGTAGGTTCTGATCAGTCAGCTAAAACGTAGCATCAAGCACATATATGCATCGGTCCCAGTTGTCATACCTCATTGACACAACAAGATGAACACCGAATTCATAGAATTAATTCAATGGTGGTAATGTATAAAAGAAAGATTGCATATAATGATATAGTACAGGAAGAAAGAATTAGTTGGTAGAAAGAAGGATATAACTAACCACTAATACACGTACACCTGACAATCAGATATATTTAAGAGTGAGGGGATATAACACTATTAAATCATAGTTATCCTCTAATAAATATTCGCGAATAAAAAGTAAACGGATATTCGGATTCCCCATACTTATGCCACTTCCACTCAACTCATTTGTTAAAAAATGAAATTGTTCAACTGAGTTGTGATAGATTCGATAAGAGCATGCAATCTTAGCACTAACGTGATCCTGAGGGATTAAACCATGTTTGAACTGATTGGGTTGGTACAATGTTTACCTCTAGTTAACGGTTGTGCACACTAAGAAGCGTTTTTTAACTCAGAAACTAATTTTGCAGATCAGTCATTCTGACACCCGATTGCTCGAGTGAAGGATTATCATTTCATTGCAACACCAATATGTTCAGTAAAGTAAAAATTTTAGTTTACCGTTCATTTGCCATCACAAAAATTTCAAAACGACCCCAAAGCTGCACCTCGAGCTGAAGTAGCCCAGGTCGGCTAACGAGATATGTATCTATAATACACAAGTTGGGAAATAATCAATCAGGTTAAGTATCATTCCTAACTTTAAATTGCTCAATACGATATAACTGTCCTAACTAGATATTATTACCATATTCGAGTGACATAATAACTTGGTATGTCGGCGAGTTTGAAACTTCTCCCAACTTTTTTTTTTACCTAAAGTGTATATGGTGTAGTTCTACTTAAATACTAATCTTGATCTTTACTGTTTTCGGTCTATCTGTTCGATATTTCTATCAGTTACGTTCTTTGATATAAATGACTAAGGACGGAATTTTCAACAATTTTTTTGCCCATTGCATAGTCTCAAATAAAGTCGAGGCAATTTTCTTGTCATCGTACGATTAAAAAGTATTTCTAGGAGTAACCGTCCGATTCGGTCATTCTAACTACTATATTAAAGATTAAGTTGTCGGTTGGCGACAAACCCTAGGTTTAGGAAATAATTGATAATACTCTTTTGATTGGTGTCAGCTACGCTGATAACAAAACGATTATATAGACTAACATATATAAGCGAACAATATTGCTTTCAATTAGATCCTCATAGGGCTTTACCCCAATATACAGTAATGTTCATATGCATATACGAAATTATTAAACCAATCAAGACGGTTTATGAGTCAATGGTAACAGTGGAATAGACCACATAAATAAACATAATAATTAAAGAGTACAAATTGGTAGTGTGATGACAGGTTACTAGTTGTGATAAGAATAACAAACTCCTAAATTCATGTTTCATAATGGGAAATAGGTCAATGGCTTGAAAAAATAAAAATACTGAAATAGCATCCACAAATACTAAGACTACGTAATGAGAACTGTTTAGATGATTGAACGACGAAGCGTGTATTTGGGAAAAAGAGTGGAAGGAGGTGCAGAAAAACAAACAAGTATGGGGAGTAATAATAAGTCTTATTAAGGCTAATGTGGTGTCAAGGGAGAGATAAAGATGTTACAAATTTCTTATGAATACTATGACTTGGATTGTTAGCTTGGATTTCTATAGCTACTGCTACATGTAAGAGACAAGATCAAACTACATAAGGAAAAGTAGTAGGAATACGATAAATAGCTTTGAATGACCTATTTCTGTTTATTCTTATCACAACTAGTAACCTGTCATCACACTACCAATTTGTACTCTTTACTTATTATGTTTATTTATGTAGTCTATTCCACTGTTACCATTGACTCATAAACCGTCTTGATTGGTTTAATAATTTCGTATATGCATATGAACATTACTGTATATTGGGGTAAAGCCTTATGAGGATCTACTTGAAAACAATATTGTTCGCTTATATATGTTGGTCTAATTCACAATATGGGAATTTTTAAGACTATATAGACCACCACGAAGTCAGGTAATGTCAAATAATGCAAAACCATATAAAATCGAAAGATATTTTGATATGATACAATGATGAAAAACTAATAAACTCAGAATTAAAGTAATCAGGATTTATCAGATGGGGTTTTGACTTATTACCATTCGAGTTAACGAGAAAGTAGTTGGCGGTCAAAAGTATACGGGAGGAATCACAGTTCATTAACTTTAAAAGACTGTCAAACAGCGGGATGTTACTTCATGAATTAGGTGGATCTTTGCTGACGGGAACGATACAGCTGACGCGCATGGTTCAAAAGAGCTTCACGACGTTCACTAAGGCTCAATTGACGTGAACTAGAGTTTGGTAGGAACTGTGGAGCAGCAACTGTGAACCTGCTGGGAGATATAGCAGACATAGTGGGGTCGCCCTGATTACTGTCTCGTTGAGTATCCGAGTCATGTGGATTTTCCAAAAGGTAATCAATAGCTGATTCAACGTCACCTTGAGTATTCACTAAACAAAAAATGTATCAATTGCGGATATAATATTTACACTGGGTTAAAAAAACGTGATATTTTTAAGGTAGAAACAAAAAACCATATACAAAATGAAGGTTATGTACATTGACTACCCATTTTTATCGTACAAAAATATTGAACCAACTTAAAATTCATTGACATATGACAGATTTTCCTCTACATCAGAATAAGTCTTTCAGCAATCAAAAGGTGTAGATTACATTATGTCAAGATAATTTATCATGTTCCTACTTTAACATCAGTATGATTTTACTTTCGTAACAAAAATATGAATCACCAGCTACATATAATGAAATACGTTCAGTAAGTATCTTATTTTCTAGGACATGATAATCAGTACTGTGGTTGGTTTCCCTAGTATTCCTCAGCATAATTTTGTTAGTGCTAAATAGTTTTGAATGCGACTGACTGAAACTCCCTCAAAAACCTACGAGACTGTAACAATTATGACAATATCTGGCACTTACAATATTTGCGTAATAATTTTAAAACCTCGGTGTGATCTTTTTCGATAGGCTTTTAAAATTTTGAATTTCTGAGACTGACAGCGAAACTTTAGTATCTAAGCTACGATATATCCTAAGAGCCCATACACTTTTCTTGTCTCATAGTTGACTCAGTTTCGCAGTAGAAATGAATCAATTCTGCGTGCCTAAGTGAAGAATGCAATATACTGAGTTCAAACACTTATCCCCAGGTAACCACACTTGAGAAGTAAATTTCAGGCCATTGTCCAATAATTTGGTATGTGGTGTAAAGAACAAATTGTTATTGGGTCTCAGTAAGAACGTATCTGATTTTCATATCGGACACTGCTAACAGTTATCTTACAAGCATCTCAAAGAAATACTACTAGTGTTTTACTATACCAAAACGAGTGTAAAACCGTGTACGTATGGATAGTTGCTTTACACATCAAAAGCCTAAAAATTAGATTACAAGCAGAATTATAGTTCCTACCTAACTAAGAAGTGTTACACTAAATATAAAACCTTACCAAGAGCTTCACGGATCCGAAACGCCGGTATGTCACGAAGTATTTCACTGATTCGAGGTACTAGATGTTCGAAAGTGAAGCATGAGTAGGTCTCGGAGGCTTTATGATTGGGCTGAATAGAGTGGCGAAGACGAACTCCATCAGACTCGAGTATGTTTGAAATTAAAGAATCGCTTGATGAACTCGTAGAATGCTTTCTAGACAAAGGGGAACTGGGTGGCGTTGCGGATAAACTAGACATAGTACAAGATCGCGCATTATGGATAGAAAGCGAAGCAATGGGTGATTCCGCTCCAGTGTACTAGAAGTAAAAAGTAATTTAGGGGAGAACTATCTCATAGGAAAATGATTTGATAAAAACAATTGTATCCGGAAAGAGATTTCGGACCAGAACCAATATGATAATTTAGATTAACCAAATAGGCTACACAATTTAGAAAGTCGCGTAATACATTGTGGAATGTCAACAT